TGTGAGTGACAGTGTGATCATTAGCAGCCAATAGATGTCCCTTATGGTTTCTGGAGTTCGAGCTCCCTCCTGACTTGTGCCTAGGGAAGAAGAAAAGGTTTATCAGTTCACCAAGTCTGCCTCTTTAGATGGTTTTATATTATCTATTATATATTATATATTCAAAGAATCCTATATTTTTAGCAATAGAATTTCTTCCTAGTGGGGTGATAGGGGAAATAGTTTTGGGGTTGGTTTATATTGTCACTGTTTAAAGGCTTGTTCTGTAAACCAGTACTACATGGGGGAGGATTCCTGCAGAAGCAGCAACATGGCAAGCACCCAGGAATTGGTCCTGGCAGGAGCAGAGCAGGATGCTCCCAGAACTGGCTTTTGTCCTTTTTGTACCCCAAATCCTTGCTGTGGTTGCTGAAGGCTCTAAATCACCATGAACCCCCTCTGCCTTTCACCCCCTCTGCTTTTTTGCTCTAAGACTGTTGCTCTCCACTTCTTCTGCTCATCCATCAGGCTTTGAGTGGCTGATGCAGGACCCCAGTTAAGGATGTGCCATAGGGAAACACCATGGCAATGGCCATTGATTGGTGGCAACGGGGTCACTCCACATCCAATGCTCCCAGGCGGGAACGAGGAGGAAAGAAATCCACATCCAGCCTCCATCCAGGAGCTCAGACTGTGTGTGCAGCAGGCTCTGGGGATGGCATTGGTAATGAAGTCCCATCCATATGGGAGAGCTGTTGGGATTGACACCAACTGAAGCTCTGTGCAGTGAGAACGTGGCAGGCCTCTGCAAAGGAACATTTCGGGAGCGAAGACAAATGCTGCTGGAACTTGACTTGAAGCTCTCAAGAACTGGATTCTTCACCTCTCCTTCACTGTAGGTTTAGAGATAAGAGTAGCCTTTAGGTAGGAGGAAGTAGAAGTTGCAGGTTTAGTGGTGTGTTTTAGGCTTCTATAGAATTGGAAGATTGGAAAGATTTTCTTTTTTGGTTACAAAAGCACTTAGGACCTTTCATAGGAGCAATAGGATTTAGCAAGAGTAGAGCTGTAGTGTAAGAATCAATAAACAAGCCTTTCAAACAACACCAGATCACCCTTGGACTGATTTCCACCCAAATTTGGGGAGAGGGTTGGAGCTGTGGAGGTGAGAGCACAAGTCCTGCATCCTCCTGGTATAAAGAACCAACATCTTCAGCTCACACAAGCAGCAGGGCTGGGCTGGGGCTGCTGCTTTGCCTGAGTACCGGGGCTGAAGGCTCAGGGGGGACTTTGGGGTCAGTGTAGATGTTTCTATGTGTATTGGTGATGCTTCTTTTTTATCTGTTGTTTTATACTTTCCTGTTTGGGGGCCTCTATCTTGATGCTGAAGAACTGCAGAGATGTGTGTGCAATTGAACCTTTTTCATGGAAAGTTCATTACCAATTAAAACAAAAAAGAAAGAAATTTTGAGAAGAAAAAACCACCCTTTTGCCTCCTTGATTCCCTCCTGCTCTGCCTGTCTCTCTTCTAGAGGAAGGGGACACCTCACCAGCCCAGCTCTGGTTGCACACTCAATAGTACATGGGTGCTATCATCCCCTTTCATGGCAGCAC